AAGCCTTGGTACCATTGCGAAGAGTTCATCCGAACAATTACCATGAAAGTATTTACAGAAAACGCACAAGGAAGCGACATTACGGTGGTGAGAAAGTGACTGAAGCCGAGATGCCAGGTTAGGAACAATAACATTTCTGATTCTACAGCAATAGTACCAGACCATATGTGGCAGCAATATTCAAATATGGATAAATGGTAGACTTATAAATATGTAAGATAGATTCTGGAGAGAAATATACTCTAGAACGAAACAGCGAAACGACTTTTCTTAGCAACAGACCGAGCAATGGAGTCAATATAATCTTTCCATTTCATGTCAGCCGAGAATGTTAACCCAAGAAGTCACAACGAGTCACTCGCCTGGAGGTTAGCATCAGCCATACTGATTCGAGGAAGAAAAGGATCTCTTAGATGTTGACTAGAGAGCAGTTTAGTTTTGGAAGTGTTAAAATTAACAAGCGATTTCTTACCTCAGTTAACTGTAGGTCAAATTTTAAATCAGCTTCCAATTTGACCTTATGGAACTGATCAAACTTGCTATCGAGACGGAATTAAAGGGTTGTATCATCAGCATAGAGTTGAGAACTGATTCTAATTTTCTTATAGTTTTCCTATTATGGGGACTAAACGAGTATAGTGTAGAACCTGTTTGAAAGCGCTTAGGACAATAATCACGACGGACTGTTTCACTTTCTTTTCGTCTACGTAAAAGAAAAACAGTAAAAATATTAGAAAAATTAAATACAAAATTTTTCCTTGCTTTTCACATTTAATGAAACATGTATAAAAGAATGATTGCTACTCAAATATACAACACATACACACACACTCACACACACATATCTCTATATATATATAATACATACATACATACATACATACATGCATACATATACGTATGTATACACACACACACACACACACACACACACACACACACACACACACACACACATATATATATATATATAGGTAAAAATCCGTGGGAAAGTAATCCAAGTTCATCCTATTAATATAAAATATTAAAACTGATCCACAGATCAATATATTTATTATTGTTGTGGTAGGATCCACCTAATTTGCATAGTGGAGTACCGACCATATAAATATGGTTGGTACCGGGAAGAGAGGGAGGAATCAAGAGATTCAACCAGAGACTCTGCCCGACTGCGACTCAGTCAACACATTCTCCAGGAACGGTCTTCCCAAGAATATACAAAAGACTATATGTAAATTTTGTGTACACTTTCTTGTTTCAATACATTTTGTTCTAAGTACATTTTGTGTTGTATTATTATTCCATGCATTAGTCGAACTGAACCCTGAAGAAGGCCGCAGCGTACAGCGGCTGAAACGTTGTAACAAATATGGCGACAAAGATGAGGACAATAGTCCGAATAATGTAAATAATGTACATAATACCTCATCTCAGAAATATAGACAGATACATCAGTTTAATATGTTGCTTCTTTTCTTTACAATTTCTTTTCCTTCCTTTATTCTTTATTAAACTTTTCTTTCCTTCTTCCACTTTTCATTCTCTTTCTTTATTGCATTTTTCATTTTTCATTCATTCCATCTTTATCTCTTTTGTCCTTCCGTCTTACTTTTTCGCCATTTCATTTTCCTCACCCAAAACTTAGCAGTCATCATCACAGTGATTTTATCAACGTTACAGCCTTTCATTGTTCGATTTTATCATAGTTCATTGCTGAAATTGGTAATCTTAGAAAATATGTGTCTGCAGTGACAGGTTTAGAAAATGAACGCTGGAAACCTCTTAAACATTCCGATCAGCCGTAAATACGAAGCCTAAGCCGCAAATTTTACTAACCTATGATAGCGGAGATAAGAGTGACAAACGACTCGATGATGAAAACTGCGGCCATTTTGTTTTGAGAAATCGTGAGCTGCTTTGACCAAGTCTGAGAAAGAGAAAAAAAAGAAATGGAACGACGCTTTGGTCCGAAGTTAGTAACAGGAGTATCATACACACTTGGAATTAGTCACGGCCTTAAAAAAACACAGGCAATGAAAAATTACCTCAACTTGGGGAGACTTAGGATTCTTTTTTATGCTTAAATAAGGTTGTTTGTCTTTCTTAGGTGTTATTTTATTTTCCTTTTTCTTTTGTCTTTAATTTCGTTTTGGATATTTTTGAAAATCTGAGACTCGTTCACATCTAACAAACTACTTCGTCATCTTCCACAAAAATGCCCTGGAAATACTTCTGGGAGAATTGATATTGAAGCAATTTCTTTTTTATTTAGCGCAAGGTTTTCTCTCTCTCTCTCTCTCTCTCTCTCTATATATATATATATATATATATATATATATATATATATATATATATATATATATATATATATATATTGTGTATTTGGGCATCAATCCTCTTTATACATGTTATATTGAAGACGACTGACTAAGCTTTTATTTAATTTTTCTTTCGTTCGTATAAGAGTTTTCTTTTCTGGACAAAAAATTCAGTTAAAAATAAAAAAAAATATAAAAATCATCCTTGAAAATGTCTAAAATATATCCGAAAGCGTTCGGAATATACCGAACATTTGGTCACTGCGGATTTCAATCAACACCTGAAAACTGCGTTGTGCAGAGTTGTGCTACTGGCTAGGAAAACATGTACATTTATTATTAATATATAATTTATAGGTTAGTTCTTCGACATCGAGCCCTATTTTATTAACACCAGCACTAATGTGCGATATTATATATTCATTTATATATATATATATATATATATATATATATATATATATATATATATATATATATATATATGTGTGTGTTATGGTCCAGGTTAGGACCAAGGAACAACAACACGAACACAAGAGTAGAAATAACGAAGTTATATTACACGAAATGATAATACAAGATGTGGAAGGTGTTAGTATGACTGTCAGTCTGGTTTGGAGTGAACTACTATCGGCTCGACTCGACCCTCTCTCTTGAGAGGCATAGTATATATAGTGTTAGGGAGAGTTCGTTCTGTAGTTATAGGTAAGGACCCATAACAATATATTATTAGGAGGATTTGAGATAATTATAATTAAGTAATTCATCGTGTCTTGAAGAAACCTCAACAGAATGCAGAAAGCACTGGACGGTCGTTTCGTCCTATATTTGGGACTCGTCAGCACTGCGCATCCACTACCGAGAACTGAAACCCGGAGGTCATACCAACTGTACCAGCGGGCCTCGGTGACGCAGAGGTAGCGAATTAGACTCGATATAGCACCGCTCGATCACATATTCCGTGGTGGAACTCATAGGACTGTGCCCCCACGAGCCACGGCTACTCTCCCCTATTCTCGGTAGTGTATATGAACCGCTGATGAATCCCAAATATAGGACGAAACGGCCGTGCAATGCTTTCTGCATTCTGTTGAGGTTTCTTCTAGACTGATATATATATATATATATATATATATATATATATATATATATATATATATTTGTGTATTCAGGCAGCAATCCTTCTTTCATGCACATTTCATTGAATACGACAGACAAGGTGCTTTTATTTAGTTTTTTATTTCTACAATTTCTCATGCGATCTAATAATTTTTTCTTTTCAGATGATAAATTATATAAAAATTGTCCGAATGTTCTTTTTATCCGAGCGCTTTCGGCTATGCATTTATCCATTTTCAAGGATTAAATATTTTAACTCTTAAATAAGAAATAGTTTGTTGTATGTATGTTTTATAAAATGTTTTAATTTTTCAAAACACGGTCAAGATATTATGTCCATGTTCAAAGTTAATATTATTAAGTGTTGCTTTTTTTGTTTTTATTAATAAGGCTTCCATTATTTTTAGCCTTTTTTTTTGCATGTAGATGATGCTATTATATTAGTGTTTTGTCAACAAGTATGTTTTGAATAGTGTCCGGTAAGTCTCCATGAATATATAAATGAGATCTAATTGAGCTATGGTCAGAAAGGTGTAGAGTGAGTCTTCGCGTCAAGCATGTTGTAGTGTGGCCTATATAATTAATTACGAATTTTGATATATATGTATATGTGTTTGCACGGTTGTATACCTAAATATGCTATATATACTAAAATGATATTTATATATATATATATATATATATATATATATATATATATATATATATATATATATATATATATATATATATATATATATATATATATATATATATATATATATATATATAAGGCGTATAGAAAAAGAAAGAACAAACCCAGTAGGGAGTGGCGTTTTGGTAGAAACAACGCATCTTAGAGTAATCATTAAGAATCGAAATCACTACTGCTGGCTTGTTAGGTTAGTGCGCTAATTGTTGTACTACGAGTATCTCCTTGTAGGTTGAAGCTTAGTAAATAAGACGAACGAAGTGGTCAGAGGATTAAACTTAAAAGTCAGTCATCAGTTTTGTAAAATAAATAAATAAATCTTTCAGCACTTGTGTCGGGTCGGCCTAATTTGTGAAGAGGGAAGTCTCCATAGGAATCTGCGAGCCCTTATAAGTCAGAATGTGGAAGATGTGATTGTTGTAATTTTATCGAAACTGTAATAACTAGTTTAAAAGCCCAAGAGCAACTGAACAAACGCAACGGAAATATATCCCTTTGTTTACTGCAACCTATCAATGATGTTGGTTGTCCAAGGTGTCTTCGTACACTTTAGCGATAGGGGACGCTTAGTGTGCTAACGTTAAAAAACGTTATAAGGTTATGGCGTGTAGAAATCTTAGCCTGTATAAATAAACACAATCATCGCAGAGGGTGCCTGAGCAAATTAGTAGCTAAGAAAACAAGAAAAATATCTTTAAAGAAGACGGGCGGAGAGAGATGAGTATAAGGAACTGAGTAAAGTACATAGTAGCCATTAGTATCATACGAAAGTAATCTTTGTAATTACAAGATAAAAAAAAAGAGAAGAAGGAAAACGCGAAGAAGGTTTTCAGTCCAAGCCTAGAATCTTAACCCTCACCCCAAATATGAACTTAGGAGAGGTCATCCGAGTTTAGGGGAAATTGGATTGTGGAGATTATATTAGACGGATTGATAAAAAAGAATGAGAAAGAAACTGAAGGAGCAAAAGATAAGTGAGAATAAGAGAGAGAGAGAGAATGAAAAAGAGAGAAAGAGAATGAAAGAGAGAGAGAGAATGAAAGAGAGAGAAAGAGAATGAAAGAGAGAGAGAATGAAAGAGAGAGAATAAAAGAGAGAAAGAGATAGAATGAAAGAGAGAGAATAAAAAAGAGAGAGAGAGAAAATGAAAAAGAGAGAGAGAGAGAGAAAATGAAAAAGAGAGAGAGAGAGAATGAAAGAAAGAGAATAAAAGAGAGAAAGAGATAGAATGAAAGAGAGAGAGAATGAAAGAGAGAGAGAATGAAAGAGAGATAATAAGAGAGAAAGAGATAGAATGAAAGAGAGAGAATAAAAAAGAGAGAGAGAGAAAATGAAAAAGAGAGAGAGAGAATGAAAGAAAGAGAATAAAAGAGAGAAAGAGATAGAATGAAAGAGAGAGAGAATGAAAGAGAGAGAGAATGAAAGAGAGATAATAAGAGAGAAAGAGATAGAATGAAAGAGAGAGAGAATAAAAGAGAGAGAGAATGAAAGAGAGAGAGAGAATGAAAGAGAGAGAATAAAAGAGAGAAAGAGATAGAATGAAAGAGAGAGAGAATAAAAGAGAGAGAGAGAATGAAAGAGAGAGAATAAGAGAGAAAGAGATAGAATGAAAGAGAGAGAGAGAATAAAAGAGAGAGAATGAAAGAGAGAAAGAATGAAAGAGAGAGAATAAAAGAGAGAAAGAGATAGAATGAAAGAGCGAGAGAGAGAATGATAGAGAGAGAATAAAAGAGAGAGAGAGAATGAAAGAAAGAGAGAATGAAAAAATTACTTTTCAGATTTTTCTCAAGTTGTCAAAAAACTATTTTTTCAAAAATTGTTCTTACAAAAAGTAAAAAAAAAAAAAATTAAATATTCGAGGGGTGCGGCTCGGATTGAGGATGGCCGAGGTCGAATTCCAGTCGAATCCATTACATTCACTTACTTATCTTCTCCTCTCCCCAGCTATGGGCAAATAGCAGGAGAGACCGGGTTCTATATCCTTGGGTGGCAACTGGTCTACCGCAGAAAGAAATGGCAACCAACTGCGGAAAAAATCTGCCTCTTCAATCATGTATCGAAAGATAATATGATCGCCTAAGCGTGTATTACGCATGGCACATAACCGATTGAATTAATGTTGCTGCCTTTTGCTCGAATAATTACCTCGTCAGGGGGTATCAGTAATTGATAATATATATATATATATATATATATATATATATATATATATATATATATATATATATACTGAATCCCCCACGTCGAATTCGACGTATGAGGGTCAAGAGATCAGTTCCTAGGAAACCGACAGCCCAACAACAGCACATGAGATTTGATTATAGTGGTGAAGATTTCGGGCAGGACCATCCACACTTTTTGAAGGGCCGAATACAGAGACCTGGTGCACTAAGTGCCTCAAGGTCCCCAAACGACCCTCCACAGATTTTGAATTCAAAGTTGTCCTTCTCCTAGACCAGTTGCCATCCAAGGCTATAGAACCCAATCTGTCCTGCTATTTACCCATAGCCGGAGGGGAAGAAGAGGATTAGCACGTAAGTGAATGTAATGGATTCGACTGGAATTCAAACTCGGCTCTCCGATTCCTCAATCTAAGCCGTTATCCATTACCCCACCGTGCCTATATATATATCAGGTGTAACAGCATAATTGTCCATTCTACAAAATGTTCAATATCTAAGAAAAACACTAAACTAATTTAGTTTGTTTTTTCCAAGTTTTCAGATAAGAAGTTTAGCCATTTTAACACCATTTGTCGTAAAAATCACTGAAAAAACAGATTGAAATCATTTTGTTACACACCCACTGACTTCCCAAATGAGCAATGGTGGGGGAAAAAGATCATTCAGGCCTTCAGTAATGGTATCAATATTCATACTCTGGTTTCCATCTTCAAAGTCCATTCAAGAACCACGATAAGTTTAAACAATATGGAAAAGTAGAGAGGAAAACTGGATCAGGAGGTCAAAACAGGATGATGGATCATCATTTGAACTTAGTGTTAAGAGAACATTTAGAAAAGATCCAACTCACTCCATAAGACGTTTGCCATGTGAGAGAGGAGTTTCAGCTATGACAGCCCAAAGAGCAGTGAAAAAAAAAAGACTTGAAAATGAAATTGTACATGAAACGTGTGAGGCAACTTGTTACTCCGGGACAGGAATTTAGAATTTTAGAGAGGGCGAAGATCATCTTGAATAAGTTGAAAATGATCCTGGAATAATATATATATGCGAACTTTATTTCAATCCTTTATGAGCTTCCGATCCTTAGCTATGATTAATTAATGATGAACATGTCATTTTCGTTTATGATCAATTTCTTCTGTTAAGCTTGGAGAGTAATTATACATTCTTATTGCTCGATGTAGAGTCCAATATCGTAATAAAAACTTCGATGAATTCCAGTAAGACATCTTTAGTCATTTCTAAGGTACAACAGTTCAAAGCTTAATCTAAAAATTGAATAACTTTGCTGTTACACAATTTAGACAATTTTGCTGTTACACCCGGTATATGTATCATAATAGTGTTTTTTAATTGTTTTATTTTTATGACAAGTTAACATTATTATGAACAGAAACATCTCTCAACAAATATATATATATATATATATATATATATATATATATATATATATATATATATATATATACATGAAAGTGAACATTGAGATCAACACTCAGAGGCGACAGGCTGTTTCATGCTAGACGCAATCCTCAGGGCGGCCTGACTTATATTTACGTACGCTCTATCTCTGATATTGAGCACTTTATACCATAAATATAGCACACTATAAAACTATATTTCTTCATATATATATATATATATATATATATAATTTAACATGCTACTGGATTGGCATTTAGGTTCCATTCATTTACTGTTGAAATACCTAAATGCATCCGCCATTTTTACTCCAACAGTTTCTTATCGCGCACTTCTCGCCTGTGGAACTCCCTTCCATTTACTTGCTTACCTGATAACTATAATCTTTAAAAATTTCAATCTCAATCGCCATCTTCTGTCTTCTTCTTCCTGTTCATTGTTTGTGCTTTCCTCAGTCTTCACTTTCATTTTCACTTGGGATGAAATGATAATAAATAACATACTAAAATCTTAACCTCTTCAAGCCAATTCAACTATTATCTATTCTATACATAGATAATCAGTTATTTCCTCTTCTTACGTTCAAAAAACAATCTCACTCACTCACCCTCTACCCTGAGTGGCTCTTTCATCTTCTGTTGGGGGAACATTTCGTAAAAAATCTGACTACGTTTTTTACTATTATTATTTCGCTCTTCACAAAATAGAAACACGTTCGCATAATATCATCGGTACTACCTCTACTGCTACTGCCTTAATGTAATGTTTTCCCTATTTTCTCCTCAAAGAAGAAGAAGAAGAAGAGGGAAGAGGAGGAGAAAATTAAGAAGGATAGGAGGAGAAGAAAAAGAAGGAGAAGAAGAACGGTAATATTCTTAAATAGAATTACAATAGATTGATTTGTTTTTTACGGCTTATCAACCTATTGCAGGCTATTTAAAGCCAGAAATATTTTTGGATTAGAGGAATGTTTTTGTAGATTATAATGATTTAACGATATAATTCCTACTATTTAACTGCAGGGAGAGGAAATGGATTTAAACCTTTCCTAAGGGGATTTGCACGTAAATGAATATAACGAATCTGAATGGAACTCGGCACTTCAATTTTTAATTCCGAGTCATTATCCATTACACCACCCGCACATCAATGCTTACAGCACCTGGTATTTCCAGGCGGTCGCTCATCTAAGTACTGACCAGGCTCGATGTTACTTAACTTCGGTGATTTTACGGGAACCGCTGTTTCTTTCTTTCTTTCTTTCTATCTATTCATATCTATCTTTTTTCTTTATCTTCTTTGTATTTTTCTTTTACTACTTTTCTTTCTTTCTATCGTTTGCTTTCGTGTTATTTTTTCTTTCTTTGTGTCAGATATGTCCCGGAAAGGGATATATTTGAACGAAGTAGCTAAGTGGTTTTGGCTACTATAACCAAGTAGAATACGGAGTCGCAGGTAAGAAGTGTAGATCAATAGCGTAGTCCAATGGTCGTCTATATAGACTTAGCTCCCAGACTAAGGCTCTTTGACTCTCCTACACGTCCGTCGGTATTTATGACGGACACCAGCCAATCATATTCCAGTGAGGGGGGACACAGGTGTATATATTCCATTATATCAGTATCATTTGTCGCTTTTGTTAGATTTATTCTTTCTTTCTTTCTTTCTTTTTTTTTCTTTCTTTCTTACTTTCTATATTTTCTCTTTCTTTCTTTCTTTCTTTCTTTCTTTTTTCTTTCTTTCTTACTTTCTATATTTTTCTCTTTCTTTCTTTCTTTCTTTCTTTCTGTCTTTCTTTCTTTCTTTCTTTCTATATTTTTCTCTTTCTTTCTTTCTTTCTTTCTTTCTTTCTTTCTTTCTTTCTTTCTTTCTATATTTTTCTCTTTCTTTCTTTCTTTCTTTCTTTCTTTCTTTCTTTCTTTCTTTCTTTCTTTCTTTCTCCTTCAATCCCTGGTTTTCCGCTTCCATTTCATCTTTAATTCTTTTCATTCCGATCCAATTTTTCTTCGTTTTCTCTCTTCGCATTTCAAAACGGAAGCGACTCTTTTATTAACCATTCACACTTCGAATTTTGGTTTTATTGACCGAAAAAAAAACCCCAAAAAACTATAAAATAAATAAGAAAGAATATTTTAATTTCAGTTCAGCCCAGCAGAACATACGGATTTGGCAACAATAAGAGAAAAGTGAAAGACGGACAATTCTGAAGATGATTGCTATTGTTATTCGAAACGTTATTGACAATCATTACACGCTCAAGTGAAACGAAAATGAAAGAATGTCTTTCAAGTCATTGTGGCCAGTGGAAAGGACAATTGACAGAAAAATTCTCGCACGTTTTAATGTTCTTAGGTTTTTTTTCTTGATTTCGTTTTTTTGTCCTCCATATTGGCTTTCGCTTCATGTCTTATTTTTTTTTTTATTAAGTCTTCTTATTTCCTTCATCACTTTTTTTCTTTTCTCTCTTCATTCTTACCTTCCTCTTTTCCTTCTTATCTTTCTCTTTTCCTTCTTTCCTTCGTCTTTTCATTCTTCTTTCCCCTCTTCATTCTTTTTTACATTATTTTCCAACTTCTTTCTTTCTTTTCCTTCTTTCTATCCTCTTTTCATTTTTAAAATGTCCTCCTCTCTTTTTTCTTTCCTTCATTTCTTTCTCCTTTTTTTCTTTCTTTTAACATTTCTTTCTTTCTTCCTTTTTAAATTCCTTCCTCTTACCACATTTTTTACTTTCATTCCTTTCTCTCTTTCTTTTTTCTTTCTCGTTTTCCTACTGTTATTTCCTTCTTCCATTCCTTTCTTACTTCCTTTCATTCTTTTCTTCTTCTTTCCCTCCTTTCTTTCATTTCTCTTATTCCTTACCTCATTTCTTTCTTTCTTTCTTTCTTTCTTTCTTTCTTTCTTTCTTTCTTTCTGTTTTTTCTTTCTATTATTACTGACTTTTTTCTTTTTCTCTTTTTTCTTCTTCTTCCGTTTCTTGTTTACTACTACTGTCCTTCTTTATTTCTTTCATTACTATCTTTTTTTTTCATTTTTTTCTTCCCTTCTTCCTCTTTTCATCTCCCTTCTTTCCTAACTTCCTTCTCTCTTTCTTCTTTCTTTTTCTTTCCCTCCTTCATTTATTCTTTCTTTCTTTTTTTAATTATGTCTTTCCTTTATTCCTTCTTTTCTTCCTCCCTACCATTTTCATTTCTTTTATCACTTTATTCTTTCTTCTTCGCTTTCTACTACTTTCCTTCTTTCTTTCCTTTCTTTCTCTTTCCTTCCATATTTTTACTTTCCTTCTTTCTTTTTTTAGTATTCTTTTCTTTTTTTCTACTTCTATTCCTTACCTCATTTCTTTCTTTCTTTCTTTTTTTTTTTTTGCTCACTTCCTTTTCTTACTTCTTTTTATTCTCCCTCTCTCTTTGTTTTACTTGCTCTCTAACTTTTCTCTTTCTTTTGTCAGTTCTTACATTCTTTCTTCTCTTTCTATTATTTCCCGCTTTTTTTTATTTCCTCTTTTCATTCGTTTTCCAATTACGTTTTTCCTGCTTTTGATTTTTAAAACGAAACTGTTAGATCTTTTCACTTCATCAGTCATCTCGATGTTTGGTTAACATTTAGCGAGAGTTGATGCGTTGATTATGACCAGTGAGTTTGATCCACACTGGGTGTTCTATATAAAATTTGATATTAAATAACCCAGCAGGGGTTGACATGATTAAAACCAACAAATATATATTTTTTTTCTTTTTGATAACAACGTTGTTAGTTTTTCATTCTTCTTCTTTTTTACAAAATCTTCTTCGAAAGTCACGACAATTACTTCTTCCGTTTTCTTTCTTCACAGTCGAATCTGCCTACATCGCCGCCATTTCTGCATCCTTCGCCACCACCACACCATATCCTCTATATGTACCACCTTCCCTATTTTCTCAGCCACCGCCAATCCTATTTACATATCCAACATCATTTATTTTGTTACTCCTCCTACAACGCCATTATCACTTATCATCTCCACAACTCCTTGCATGGAGTATTGCTGCTTATATATGGTCTGGAGCCTCTTCTGTTTGTCTCGGGGTTCTTGATAAGATCCAGAGACGGCTATGCAATGTAATTGGCCCTGATCTGGCATCTCGTCTGCAGTCGCTCTCTCACAGACGTGCCGTCGCCTCCCACTGTCTTTTTTTACAAATACTTTCATAATAACTGCTCCGATGAGTTGCTTTCGCTGGTTCCCAGACTTCATTAATTTAAGCGTTCTACTAGGCTGGCTTCTCGCTCTCACCCTTTCACTGTCTGTTAAATGTAGCCGTCTCTTCTACTCCAATAGCTTCATGTCTCGCACTTCTCGCCTGTGATACTCCCTCCCCTTTTCCTGTTTCCCTGATAGCTATAATCTCTAACAATTCAAATGCAATGTCAATCGACGTCTTCAGATGCCTTGATCTATCCCCTATCCTTCTATTCATCCTTTCCTCTATCACTCCTATTTGCTCTCGCTCCAACTCTCTGTAAACCCTTGCGTGCTAGTGGCTTCCCATCTTGCTTGGGGTGAAACGCTTAAAAAAAAAACAAAAAAAAAATCTCCATCATCACCAGAACCACAAAAATACGTCACTTGTTTTCCATCATAAGTACATAACCTCCATCATCACTATCTTCACAGATCTCCTCCTCTATCACTATCACCGTCATCACAACCACAAGCAAACGCCGCCATCATCTCCACCATCAGAATTACTGTCCTGGGTATGACGATAAACTACATCCGGCAACAAGGCAATTGGAAGATTCGAGGTTTTGAGGAGCGCAGAACCCGCTCTTAATGGTTCTTGTTCCCAGGTTCATCCTGAACTGGGGTGGTAGCACCTGTTAGGGTCCCTGCTATAGATAAAGAGTGAAACCCCCTAACGAAACCTTATGGAAATATAAAAATACATTTTAATAGTAAAAAAAAAATACCAGCAATACATTCTATATAAAAAAATGACCAACATTTTATCTATAGTTGAAGGCGTTCAATTTCGACATTAAATGACCCATAGAGGTGTTGATATACCGCTAAACAAAATCAACCGACCAACAATACATATTCATAGCAAAATAACCAATACATTTTATCTGTACTTGAAGGCATACAATTGCGTTCAAAAGATATTTAGCTGAAACCATAAAATTGTGTTAAAAAATTTTAGATTTCAGCATTAAATGACCCATAGAGGTGTTGATAAACCAACCAATCAAATATTCTTTTGTTCACTTTTTTCTTCTTCATATTTTTACTGTTAATTACTGTTGATGACTTAATTAAAAAAAAAATTGCTGCCTGATCGAATATTTTCCCGCGCTTGACTTTCGACATTATAAATTTTTTTGTCGTCTTAAGTCAGAAGCCAGAGTCCCATGGCTGCATTGCTACCCACCACCATACGACTCCTGAAGCAAGCCTAGACCCTAACCGGACCACACCTAATACCCCAAAGGCAAAGACCAAACCCTGACCACACCAAAGGCAAATTTTAACCCCACCTTTTTTTCTCTCTCTGTGCATTTCGTCCACGTATTTGATGGTACTTTTTGCATCGTCAGAGCAAAAAGAACTTTCGCCATTATCCGATCGTTTTCAATTCTTTTCGATTGATAATGTATTTAATGGATACAAAAGACAGAATCGATCAGGATTGATGACAAAGAGAATAGAAAAGGAAAAAAAGTAAAGAGAGAAAGAAAAAAAAGAGAAAGGGGCATAAAGAAAAACAAATCGAATAAACGTGGTGAGAGAAGGGAAAGAAAGAAACAAAAATAGTGGGGAGTGAAATATAGAAAAAGAAGGAGAGAGAAAAAAACTAAAGCAAGATCATGAGGGGATAGATAGATAGATAGATAGATAGATAGATAGATAGATAGATAGATAGATATGAAGATGTAGGGATAGATAGATAGATAGATAGATAGATAGATAGATAGATAGATAGATAGGAACAGACTTAGATAGGAACAGACTTAAATAATTAGATAGATAGATAGATAGATAGAAAGAGTGGGCAAAATCATATAATGAAGAGAGAGGGATAGACAGAGAGAGAGAGAGAGAGAGGAAAAGGATTATGAGGGGAGAGATAGGGAGAGAGGTAGGATAATATTAAATTATGACGGAAGAGAGATCAAAAGAAACCGACATACCTATCAGGGCACCTGAAGGCGGTGTAATGGTTAGCAAACTTGTCTCGTTACGACTGAGTAGTTAGTCCGATCCTCACTGGGTACCCCATACTTTCGGCGTTGTGCCATATCTAAGCTACGCTTGGAAGATCACTATATAGATAGATACACACACACACAAATATATATATATTGGGTGGCAATAAAGTTACTATTCAGTTACTTATGATAAAAATGCAAACCCTTGAACAGTACGAACAGTATCGGTAATTAATTTACTATTGTTTACCATAGAATTTTATTGTTATTAACCAGCACCATTTTAATAATAAATTTACCTTGTCATATTTATTATTGTAAATAGCTGTATAGTGACTTTACTACCACCCTATATATATGTATGTATGTATATTTTTCCAATAGGAATCAATGTACAGTGCCACAGTGCAATATAATTGGAGAAAAAAAGCACAGCACAACACACGAATATATACAACATGGCGATCGACTCAGAAATGATTCTGTTCGGGTTTTAACACGGTTCGTTAACGTTGTTCGAGAACCAAAATTTTGTTACTTAACCGAGGCCTTTTCATCTCGAATTTTCTGTTCGACATGTAAGACGTTCGAAGCCCGAGGTTGCTCTTTATATATATATATATATATATATATATATATATATATGTATGTGTGTGTGTAAAGATATATATATATATATATATATATATATATATATATATATATATATATGAAACTGACAGATAGATTTAGATGAGAAGTAGATAGATTTAGATTAGATAGATAGATTTAGATGAGAAGTAGATAGATAGATAGATAGATAGATAGATAGATAGATAGATAGATAGTAACAGGCTTAAATAGATAGATAGATATATAGATAGATAGATAAATAGATAGATAGATAGATAAAATTAAATAGATAGATAGATAGATAGATAGGAACTGACATAGATAGATAGATAGATAGATAGATAGATAGATTTAGATAAGAAGTAGATAGATAGATAGATAGATTTAGATAAGAAGTAGATAGATAGATAGATAGATAGATAGATAGATAGATAGATAGATAGATAGATTTAGATAAGAAGTAGATAGATAGATAGATAGATAGATAGAAAGTGAAACAAATAAATAGAAAGCAAGAGAAATGGATAAACAAATCCTCAGATGTAAAGAATGCAAGAAGGAATAACAATAAAGCGACAAAAAATCGTTTGAAATAAAAGCGTGAAAAATCAGACAAATGAACTCTTTTTTGCCTCAAATAGGATTTTCTTATAATCCGTATAAAAATAATCAAGACATTGAAAGAAAGCAAGGAAGAGAGAAACATCAGGTCATAAGGAAAATAACAACAATAACAATAGCAACGCAAACATGACTGGCACACCTTAAAGAAAAAAGTCCCCGAAATGCTTAAAACAGCAAAAAAAAAAAAAAAAAAAAAAAAGTAAACGAAAATACGAAAAGCCAAGATGGTTTAATGGAATAAAAGAATAAAGAAACAAAAAATTCAAAGGGAGGAAAAACAGGACAAAAATAATGACGAAAGAATTAAACTATAAACGAACGTTCAAGAATAAGAATAATAGAAAGAGAAATAAAAGAAAATGGAGGATGAATGATTCCCGGAAGTCTTAGCCGGAAGTGATGGGATGACGCGGGAAATACAATTGCTTGGAGACAAAGGCTAGAGAAAAAAAAGGGAAAATTCAATGGACGAAGAAGTCGGGGTCGAATAAAAAGTCATTTTTTTTTCATCGACCCTTTATCAGTCCGTAACAATGATAAGAGTCGAGACAATAACGGTGGCATTCATAAAAGCCTATAACAGTCATTCAAGTAATGGAGATGATATTGATACAAAAACATTAGTGGGATGCAGAAGGAGGAAGGAGTAGGGTGAGGAGAAATGAAGAAGTGGTTAGTTGAAAGAAGTAAGAAAAGAAAGAATGAAAGAAATAAGTAAGAAAAGTGAGATGAAAAAGAGAGAAAAGATTAGAAGAGAAAGAATGAAAGAAAAAAACATGGAAAAGTTAGATGGAAAGATTAGAAAGAAAGACAAAACAGAACTAAAGTCGAGAAAGAAAGAAAGAAAGAAAGAAAGAAAGAAAGAAAGAAAGTAAAAGATGGTCGAGAAGAACGAAAGAAAAGAGAAAAAATATTAAAAGAAAAAATGAAAAATAGTGTAGAAAAACTATGGAAAGAAAAAGCGAAAAATAACATGCAAATAAAGAAGAAAATATAGCGTGGTAATAAATGAAAAATTGCATAAGTGTATAGAATGAAAGAAAGAAAGATTTAGTTAAAAAATAAACAAGGATGAAGTTAGAAAGTGGAATGAAGTTACAAGAAAGAAAGAAAGAAAGAAAGAAAGAAAGAAAGAAAGAAAAAAGAAAGATTTAGTTAAAAAGAAAGAAGAATTAAGTCACAAGAAAGAAAGAAAGAATGATTTAGTTACAAAAGAAACAAGGGTGAAGTCAGAAAGAAAGAAGAATAAAGTCAAAAGAAAAAGAAAGAAAGAAAGAAAGAAAAAAAGAAAGAAAGAAAGAGAAATGTTCGTTTGAAGCATCGGGAGTCAGAATTACGAAAAAACAAAACAAAAACAAAAAATCCCCCCCTCGCAAAAAACCCCCCAAAAAAACAACAAACAAGTGAGTTACGCATCGGCCTCACATTTGAAAAGAATCGAAAGAATTAACTCTATCAATGCTGATGTATTTTTTCTTACGCTTTCGTCTCAATAATATTATCTAATTCTTGTCAATACACATCTTCTTCAAAGAGGAACGAATTAAAGGAGTGTGCACGTAGCTGGCAGCTATGTTCCTTTCTCACCACCCAGTTACTGTTCATCCACCCCCAGCACCCCCACTTTCTATGGTTTCAATGAATCCGACCACCCACTAATGTAGCTCCTTGCTTGCCCCCCCCCCCCCATTCCACTAGCCATTCAATCACGTTTACTATTTTTGTCATTTCTCAAGAATGATAAAGGTCAGTTTTCTGTTTATTTTATCCAATCCTATTGCAGTTATCTTGGTTTTCCTTCCAAGCACCTGTTCTCATATGGCTCTTTCACCACAGCTTTTTTTTTCTTTATCCTTTTCCTCTTTTCTTTCCTCTCTTTTCCCCCTCTTTTTTTCATTCCCTCTCTTGACAAATTCCTTTACAGTTTTCATTCCTGCATTTTTGGCATCTTTTTTATTCATTCCTCGACCCAGATTCTATTTTACACCCGATCATTTTATTATAATTCTTTCTTTCTTTCTTTCTTTCTTTCTTTCTTTCTTTCTTTTGAGTTTTCATTTTTATTTTTTTCGTTCTTTCTTTTCTTTTCTTCGTTGTATTTCGCCTTTCTCTTCTTTCTCTCATCTATTCATTTTTCCTTTATTTTTCCACTACATTTTCTTTCATCTTTCCTTCTCCTTTTTTTTTCGTTCGTCCATTTCCTTTCATGCATTTCTCTTTCTTTTCATTCTCATTCATTTTGTTGTTCCCCCAATATTTTCATTCATTTTAGTATTTAATTCTCGATTGCTTTTTCTCGCTTCCATTCCTTTTTCACAACCCCACTTTTCTTTTCTTTTCTTTTCTTTCTTTCTTTCTTGTTTCCCATATTATTAATTTCTGACAGATTCTCGTTGACAAAAAGCATTTCATTCAATTATGAAACTTTGTTGTGGGTACTTATGAGTTTTAACATAGATAACTGTTGAATTACATAATAGGGAAGTAACTGGACACAGACAGACAGACAGACAAACAGATAGATAGATAGATAGATAGATAGATAGATAGATAGATAGATAGATAGATAGATAGAAACCAGTTTAGAATAGATAGATAGATAGATAGATAGATAGAGAGAAACCAGTTTAGAATAGATAGATAGATAGATAGAAACCAGTTTAGAATAGATAGATAGATAGATAGAAACCAGTTTAGAATAGATAGATAGATAGATAGATAGATAGATAGATAGATAGATAAGTGTATGTGTCAGTCGCAAATACATCGAACTGAACAGAGTCAATAAAAAAAAAAAAGAGAATGAAAATTGTCGGTCCGGGTTCAAATATTGGTTCAAGTTTTTTATATTCACATAAAAATCACGAATCTACGTCTTTCTTGAACTGATTATCTTTTGTTTAATTGAGTTTACCCCAACGATGATGGTTTCCAACCGGCATGAAACAAGAAGCAGCGAGTCATTTATTATAAAGTTTAGAGAGGACAGGAGCCAGACTATTATAGGGATACCATCAGATCCAGATGCTTTGTGGAGATCCAGATTAGAGATGGTAGCAGAAACCATAGAAGGGGTTCTATGCATATCACTCAACAGAGAATCAGTTCTAAGTTAGGAAGTTAGGCAGGGATACTCCAGATGAGTCAAGAGTAGAGTTTGAGCAGAATTTACAGGTGAAAGATTCAGTTTTATCAGTAGATGTTAACACATTTAATTGATTGAATGGAGAAGAAATACAAAAACCTCATCTAATACTCTATTATGCAGCCTCCGGTAATCACTAGAGCCAAAGTTGTTAGATGCAGTCCAGTGTCTTATTCTCCCAAATAGAGATTTACCTCCTTTGAGAACATGTTTACATTTATTACGTGCAACCACAAATAGTCGTCCGTTGTGATGAGAACTGTCATGCTGATACCGCCGGAAATAGTTATTCCTGTGGGCTATAACATGGAGAAGATTAGGTTTTTGCCTCGTATTGCCGAAAGGGAATGAAAACATCTATCGTATCTACCGTATTTGACCCACTGTTGTTCCAGTTTCTAAGAACTCAGGTGAACCACCCGAGTCTTTTACCATTTTTTGGCACACAACTACGTTCGGCTATAATCAATGCTGAATTGGTTAAACATCTTTCATCGCAAGACCTTCTTTCAGACAAGCAATATGCCTTTCATTTCTTTAGGTCCACTGCTGATGTATTGATGATAATTGCGGAAAGAACCTATCAAGCAATTGATAAAAATGGTGAAAGGCTGGACATTTCGAAAGCTTTTGACAGGGTTTGGCATACAGGTCTTCTTCACAAGTTAAAAAGTTACAGTGTCCGGTTAAATTTTTGAACTGATCCTATCTTATCAAATCGTGAAATGAAAGTCATCCTGAACGGCCACTCATCTGGATTATTTTGTACTAACGCATGTGTCCCTCAGGGCTCTATCCTTGTACCCACTTTGTTTTTAATTTCCATTAAGGACCTTCCCGATGGCATCAGCTCTCAGCTTGCTATCTATGCTGATGGCACAACCATTTATTTCTGCTTCTTACAAATCGATAAGGTCAAATTGGTGGCTGATGTCAAAAACTTCAGGCTGTTGTTAACTGGGGCAAAGAATAGCTTGCTAATTTGAACACCTCCCAAACTAAATTGATCTCTATTAATCATCTGAGAAGCCCCTTTGTGATTTCCATCAGCATGGCTGGTGCTAACCTCCAAGCTGACGTTCTCAGCTAACATGAAAAACAAAATTGAATCCATTGCTAAGAAAGTTGGTTCACTGTGTCGCGTTAGACAATATTTTTCTGTGAAATCTATCTTATATATCTATAAGTCTACCATTCGTCCATGCTTAGAATATTGCTGCCACATATGGTCCGGTGCTCCTGCTATGTATCTAGAGATCCTTGATAAACCCAAAGACAAATCAAAGCAATATCATTGGCCCTGATCTGTTATCTCGGCTCCAGTCACTTTCTCACCACCGTAAAGTTGCCTCCCTGTGCCTTTTCTATAAATACTTCCATGGTAACTTTTCGGGTGGGCTCTTCGTCAGGGTACGCAGACTTTATGAATTTAAGCACAGTAACAGACTGGCAACGAGGTCTCACCAATATGCAGTTGAGTTGCTTAGATGCTAACAGTTTCTTTTCTCGCACTTTTCGGTGGTGGAACTGCGTTCGAGCTCCATGCTTTCCAGTCAACTTTAACCTTCAAAAGTTTAAATGCAAAGTCAATCGCTATCTACTGTCCTCCTGATTATTCTTCTTAGTGATGTTTCTGTTTTCTAATACTTCCATACCGAGTGACCCCCTTGTGTGTCATAGAGTACACAACAAAAGTTCTTCTCCTTCAGTATATCCTGTTGTTTGACACAGAAAATAGTAGGTAAGTCGGCTCTTGAGTAAACAACACTCCAATAAATACTTTCCACCTAAATAGTCACAACAAGATGCTGCTATCCTACTGTCAACGCACACACGCACACGCGCACAAGCGCACACGTATATGAATATATAACACACACATACATACACACGTATTTTTTATAATCATTCTGTCGACTCGTCAGGAGGTATCAGTAACTGCCTGCCTTTTTTAGTTAAAAAAAATTATGTACTTTTAATTAATTGGTTTTAGGTTGATTATTTCTTCCTTTAATAATATTATTGTCTCCTTATACTCTCTCATTAATCCTTTTCCTTGTTTTAACCTCTTTCGGTCCTGAGTATCAAAGATAATTTAACAAGGTTCCATTTTTTATTTATTTCTCGTTTAAATATATTTATTTTAGTTAATACTTTAACACACACACACACACACACACACACACACACACACACACACACACACACACACACACACACACACACACACACATATATATATATATATATATATATATATATATATGTCTCTCTCTATATATATGTTTTAATGTATGCAATTTTAATGCCACCAGTGCAAGTGAAAGTGATATCATGATCTACAGGTGACCTTGTCTTTAAAAGTGAATGTGTTTGAATGAATACTACAAATATTTAGTGCCTTGAAATAAATGAAAATCTGTAACGGTAAATTGTTCTATAATTCTAGCATTCAACTGTTTAACGTGAATCACGTTTTCTCTCTTTATTGAAGTTTGCATTGAAATAAAATACATTTTTCTGATAACACCGAATTATGTTACAACGGAAGTTCCTCCCCACACACGCACGCACGTACCCAGCCCATATATATATATATGATTTGACAAGGCCTACAAGTAAGTCTTGTGGGTTGAAATAGCTATTCGAATGAGGTAACTTTGAATTTTTTTTCTATGTAATATATATATATATATATATATATATATATATATATATATATATATATATATATATATGTGTGTGTGTGTGTGTGTGTGTGTGTGTGTGTGTGTGCGTATATATTTGGGTAGCAACCTTCCTTTTAAACATCTTTAGTTAGATATGAGAAACAAGGAAAACTATATTATTTTTTTTAGTTTTTCCAGCGTTCTTACATTTCTTTCTGTTCGATGGGAGTGATGGAATACAAAACTGTCCATACCGTCCATTTTCCCAAACGCTTTCAGCAACTTCTTTAGACTAGGTTTCATTTGTCAATCTGTTCGATTTATGGAGTTCTGTCCCTTAACACACACACACACATGGATATATGTGTGTGTGTCCATACCGTCCATTTTTGGGTAGCAACCTTCCTTTTACATCTTTTAGATATGAGAAACAAGGAAAACTATATTATTTTTTTAGACTTTTCCAGGTTCTTACATTTGTTTCTGTGTATGGGATTTAATACAAAACTGTCCATACCGTCCATTTTCCCCCAAACGCTTTCAGCAACTTCTTTAGTCCCTTACATTTGTCAAACACATTTATGGCAAGTCTGTCCCTTTACACACACACACACACACACACATATATATATATATATATATATATATATATATATATATATATATATATATTTGGTTGGATAGATGTGAGTTTGTGACCTGGGTTCACTTTTGTCTGGCGATCGCTAAAGCGTGAAACCCAGGGTCACAAACTCACATCTATCCAACCAAATATGTTTGCTCTATCTCTGATATTGAGCGCTTTCTAATAAGTACCGCGCATATAATATATAAATAATTATACATATATATATCTATTTATATTTATATACACTTTTCACACACACACACACACATATATATATATATATGTGTGTGTGTGTGTGTGTGTGTGTGTGTGTGCGTGCGTATATTTGTATTATCTATTTATAATTGTTTGAAATTGCTGGATTATCAAATTTACAGGTGTCTTGGAAAATTAACTGATCAGGTGACGAGCCCCAGACATCAGGAGATGAAATTATATGTGGGTAGGAATAATATTTCAAATGAACCTATTAGATAGACATGCATTGTATAGACAAGTGCGTGCGTGGCATTCTGTTAAAAAGAGTGAAAAAAAAAAGAAGAAATCCTATCGGTTTGTGCGAATGAATAAATAATGTCTTCTTTTCCAACCCCTCCTGGCCTGTAGAAAGGCGGAAACCTGAATTCTAATAATCAATGCCATTAAAAAAAAAATCTCCCCCTCTTTCTTTTAACAAGAAGACAGCGTAGCCCTGGGGGTCTGGGAAATTAAAATACAAAGAAGAAGAAAAAGCTGCAAAAATAAAATAAAGGCATCATGAAATAACAAGAAGAATGTTGATGAGAGAATTTATGGCATATCGATAGTTTCATGGGTTTTGGAGTTATATGATTCCATTTCCTTCATGTATTAATATCAAATACTTACTCTTATTCGCAGACTTTTATTTTTCATTTTGTTTTTTTGAGTTTTCATTGGGATTCCCATACGATCATCGCTTGGGAATACCAGTTACTGTAAGCTTGGATGTGCGGGTGGTGTAATGGATAATGACTCGGAATTATTAATAGGAGAGCCGGGTTCCATTTCTAGTTGAGTTCGTCATATTCGCTTACATACATTCGCTTGTGTACACTTGGGGAAAGATATGACTCCATGTTTTCTGCCCCCCCAGTTATGGGTTAAATATTAGGACTTGTATCAGTAAAAATCACTTTTAAAACTTCTTACAACATGAATATTTTCTGGCTTTAAATAACCCGCAAAGGGTTGACAAACCGTAGAAAACAAATCAATCAATCTTCCGAGGTTTCAGTTATCCGCGACCAATCCCAAAAATAATTTGTAAGCTTAACTAATAATGGTATTGTTACAATTATTTTATTTTATTTATTGTTGTTAATCTGTAATTTTACCAAATACGATCTACAATAAAAAAAATCTTTTATTCATCACATAACTTTTATTCCATTATATTGATATAATTGTCCTATTTCATTATTAGTTATTGCTAATTTCTTAATATGCTTAATAAGATCTAAATTTAGAACGAATCTTCTAGCAACGAAATAACTTTTATTATTGTTACAATAAATCTGATTTATTATTAGTTGTTTTTGTTAATCTCTTATTGTGTCTAATTTGTAAATTAAAATTTATTATAGGTGTGTATGTATAAGAGGAGGTACGTTTGAGTAATGGATAGCGGCTCGGATAGTAGATAAAGATGTTGGTTAGCTCCAGTGACTAGACCCAAAGAGTTGTGAGTTCAATACCAAGCCACGGCAGTAGTGAACCAAAACTTGGAGAGGTGAAATTAAAGGGAAATAAGTGAAACATCCGGAACGTGGAACTAGAACAATCTAACCCGGTGGATAAAATAAAGTGTTCGGTTCAAAATTCCAGTCACCTGAAGAAAACCGAAGCATACAACACCCGAAACGTTGTGATTATGGCAATGCCGATGAGGATAACAGACCAAATAATGTAAATAATGCAAGTAATCATAATACCTCATCTCAGTGATATAGAAGTTGAAACGTTGTGAATATGGCAATGAAGATGAGGATAACAGTCCGTATAATGCAAGTAATCATAATACCTCATTTCAGAGATATAGACAGATACAGAAACAAAGATAAGAGTGCTGAACTGCTATATAATATCAATCCTGTATGACTATGAATGCTAGACAATTTCCTCACTGGTAAAGAGTACACATGATACAAAATGTGATGTTCTACAGAATGATGCTGAGAATACCATAGACAGAACATGTGTACAAAGAGGAAGTTTTAAGGGAAATGAAACACATAATTAGGACAGTAGGCTTGGAGAATGTGACGCTCACAGCACTTATTGAAGGGAGAGTGGCTAGATGGAAACAAGCAATAACTTACATAAAGCTTGTTTAAATGGGGGAAGTATTAAAGTGACAAAAATTGCTTAGAGCTACAAATGATGGGAAATTGTGTATAGATCGTTCACCTCTTAAAAAGACACGTTGCATAAACAAAGAACCTACATTCATGTACCTTATCAAACTTTGTGAATATGGCAATGAATATGAGGATAACAGTTCGAATAATTTAAATAATGCAAGTAATCATAATACCTCATTTCAGAGATATAGAGGCCGAAACGTTGGGAATATGGCAATGAAGATGAGGATGGTCACATCTGATGATTGTGGAAGCAAGTAATTTAAATAATAAAAGCAGGTAAGAGATATTTTATTAAAGGCAAGGATTTTAAGTACAGATGGTTAAGACATTTAGAGTTTAATATTTGGAACGACACAATCTTTTCTTACCTCATTTCCTGTATTTGTCAATATAACATTATAATCTAAGCTCCGTAAATTTCTAGATAGACTTGATTAGATAGGTCTCCTTACATTGAAGACTGGCGTAACACAATCTTTTTACTTATTCATTTTCGTCTATCTGCCCTTGTGTTAGCTTTGTAAATATCTTGTGGTTGAGGTAATTGTGCCTTCCCAGCGTGTCCGTGCTTAAGTAAAATGCAACAATTGCTTTCCGAAGAGAGGTTACATTCTTCGGAAGTTTGGCGCAATATATTCTTCGCATGTCAATGTCATTTTGTGCTGGCAATTGCAAGCCTGCTGAATATCTATGCACTTCTAATATTCCATTTATTGGCAAAGAGTTCACTATTGGCACTGATTTTTAAAAAATAAAAACCGAAAAAAAAACAAGATTTGTTTTTCTGAAAGAACAGTTGGCACGAAATCGATTTTGGTCATTCTAAAATGAAAATAAAAAAGGATGTAGATTTTACTCCAGATTTTTTTTTTACTTATATCTGTAAATAAATTCTGAATTGGAACATCATTGATCAAAATATAAGTAATATCCTCTGGCGTCAACTTAAGATTTGTTCAAAGTTTTGTATTTTCTCGTTTTTAGATGGAAAATTAGAAAATTTCCATTATATTTTAGCAGGATTTCCACTTTTCAAAATAAAAGAGTCAGTTTAAAATGAAGCCAGGGAGATATGGGTTGAGAAAACCGATTGACCCAAAACTCTAATGTCGCCCCCACACTTATATGTGAAGTTTATGTAGCCCCTTCTAGAAGATGCCTGAAAGCGCGTAACGATCACACTCCCTCATATATCAGAAAGAAAAGTGCAGATGAGACAGAGTGGAAAAGCTTATAGACGACGCGTTTCGTTGACGTGACGTTTGTTGAGTTCGGCTTCTTCAGATCGGAAAGGAAAGAGCGGGTCTACAGGAAATGTATTGGGATTTTTAAGGATAAGATGGGCAAAAAAATTAAATTATCAGATCCGACGACCAGAAACCAGAAAGTGTTATATATATATATATATATATATATATATATATATATATATATATATATATATATATATAGTTAAATTCCCAGATGAATTTTTTTTTTTCATTTTTGCCTTGAAAAAGTCGGAAGACGAAACGCGTCGGCAAAATGTATGATTTTTTTCCAATTGTCATTTGATACCAATCTGTCTTGTCCACAGAATTCATCTGGGAATTTAACTATTTTGTCGACATGGAAATAATAATAATAATAATAATAATAATAATAATAATAATAATAATAATAATAATAATCCCTTAGTAGAAAGGGAATTTACATTAACCAAAAAAAAAAAAAAAAAAAAAGGCTTAGATACAAGCGTCTATCTTTTAAAATTTGGATTGTTAATGTAACTATAACAACAAAAACATTTCGATTTCATTTTTGCCTTGAAAAAGTTGGAAGACGAAACGCGTCGGCAAAATGTATGATTTTTTTCCAATTGTCATTTGATACAATATATATATATATATATATATATATATATATATATATATCTTGAGCCGCTGGTGTCTGATGGATTTAAATCATCCCAATACGAGAGGATCTCTGTCTTTTTTTCTCTATTAGCTTATATACAGCAAAGTGCTAATATTCCTTTTGAGGGGATCTGTGATATTATTTATGAGCCTACTTTACTAATACTATATTCATTCAATTTTTCTTTCCGTACAACTCCCAGCGAGCGTATCAATTGTGTTTCCTATTCAACTGAATACAAATCAAAAGATTAATTACTCGATTGCATCTAACTGGATCTTACTTCATTCGAACTACGATCTTAAAGCTTCTATGGAATGCCAATAATTACAGCAGACGAGAATATGAATCTCCAGCGCCAAGACCCCTATTTCAAAAAAGATACATAACTTTACTCAAAGAAGCAAACATAATCTCACAGTTCGTAATGGGTAGCGAGAGATTTGATTAAGGGTATCGTAAAACCGATAAAGTGGTTTTTTTTGTTATATGCCTTCAGGATGTTGGCGATAATAGCCCTCCACAATCTCCTATAAAGGAAAACTCTTAAGAACGTTTGCCCGTTTGTCTAACCCCCTAAAAAACAAACAAACCATCACTTTACACAAGTTCGTCAGGTAGGTGGTCTGCCTTCAATATGCCTTCTGAGTGTCAAACTCTTCAACCCTCTTTTCTCATTCTGTGTCTAAAAAATTTCACCTATCGCTTCTTGATTTCAGACATCGCTGCTTGTGTCCATTTTTATTTCCATTTTCTTTAAAACTTCTCCATTGGTTACGCGTTGTGGTTGATAGTCTCAGCATCCTTCTGTAGAACCACATTTCTGTTGCCTCGAGTTTTCTCGTTATCAGTAAGATGCAGTGATACTGCTGCTAAATCAGTTGCCAGTTATGACAGGTGAAACGATCATCGTTTATTCATTAAAATGTATTTTTTACACTAATCTTATTTTTCCCCCGATTTGTTTCCATTAATGGCACCCATTCCTGTCTCATCGTCTCTTTACAATGTCCCCACAAATTTCACCATTTCTTCGTCAATCGTTTTGTTTTTTCATTTTTTTTTGTTTTTTTCCCCGTGTTCATTATTAACAGCCTGCTCATCGCCATTTATTTTTATCATTATAATTTTCTCAGTTTTTTTTTCTTTTCTTTTTAACCCTACGTTATTCTTTTCCTATTGCTTCTATTCTTCTACGGTCGAGGAAGTGGAACCCAGAAGACCCTTACCCAGACTTCACCGCACCGGAAGATGCCTCATTTAAAAATCGCCGGCAGATATTCGCGATAATTAACGAGAAAAAAAAAGGGATAAATGTTTTTTCGCTGTTGGCCATTTTAAGAAAGAAAGAAAGAAAGAAAGAAAGAAAGAAAGAAAGAAAGAAAGAAAGAAAATAATGTTCCGGAAAGAAAAAGAAAAATATAGAAGCAGATAAACAGAGAGAAAAGAAGCAAAAATCGAAAGAAAGAACATGCAAGAAATTCAAAGAAAGACAGAAATAAAACAAACAAACAAAAAACAAGGGAGGAAAGAAAGACTGGTCAGGAAAGGGAAAGAAAAATGGATAAAAGAAGGAGAGAAAGAAAAAAGGATAAGAAAAGAAGAAAAAACACAGACCGGAAAGAAAGAAAGAAAGAAAGAAAGAAAGAAAGAAAGAGCAACCAGGAAAGATAAAAAAAAGTAGGTAGGTCTGGAATAAGACAGGAAAAAAGAAAGAAAGAAAGAAAGAAAGAAAGAAAGAAAGAAAGAAAGAGAAAAAAAAACGAAAGATACACAAACTGAAAAAACTATTAAAAGACGAAAGCAAGCATTGAAATTAACTGTCTTTACTCGAACATCCCATAATTTTTCTTACTTTTTCACTATTCTTTCATTTTGATATCTGGTCTCGTTCTCGTTTTGCTTTATTTTCGTTTCTCTCTCTCTCTCTCTCTCTCTAGTCGTCTTTTCTTTTTCCCCTTCCTCATCCTTATCGCTTTCTTTCTTTCTCTCTCTCTCTCTTTCTCTTTTAACGAGCTTTCACTGACTTATTTATCTTCCTTTTTACTTTTCTTTTTCTTGGCCATATAGTAAATATTTCTCGCCTCTCTTTCTTTTTGGACTTCATTTCCTTCCCGATTTTTCTTAAACTTCTTTCTATCCCATGATTCACTCTTTTCAAATTCTCGCCTTCTCTTTATTTCCTCATCTTTTGTTCATATTTTCGCATTCTCTCTCTTTCTCCCTCTGTTTCTTTCTCTCCCCCCCTCTCTCTCTCTCGATCTGATTCTCTTTTTCTTTCTCTTCACATATTTCCACTCATTTCTTTTCGTTGCCGCCGGGCGTGAACTGCAGCCGAAGGAGAATCCAAGGAAAAAAGCCAGTCGTCGATTATTATTTTTTTTTTTATGTGTGTTCGTTGCTTGTACGGCGCTAATGATGAAGTGTATCTATTACTCAAGGTGTCTAGTCGCTCCCTAAACCCACTACCAATTTCGTTCAATTTTTCCCGCTTTTATTTTCCCGCCAAACCTCGTCACTGCTTTCATTCCAGCATTGATTTTCCCGCTTTGTTTTTTTCCTTTTCCTTTTTAAATCTTAGAAGCTTTTTTCTTATTTGAAATTTCACTCTTTTTTTTTTCAATCTTTATCATTTTGTGTAATCTTCATTCTCCACAGCAGTTTTTTTTCTTTCTCATTTTTTTCCTATGTAAGAAGTAATTTTTTCTTGTCAGTCGTTTTTTATTTCTTTCTTTCTTTTTTCCTTCTTCCAGACCTTTTCCTTTCTTATTCAAGACCTTTCTTTCTTTCTTTCTTTCTTTCTTTCTTTCTTTCTTTCTTTCTTTCTTTCAAACCTTCCTTCTTTCTTTTCTTTTTTCTTTCTTTCAGACCTTTCTTTCGTATTCCAGACCTACTGTCCTTTCTTTCTTTCTTTCTTTTCTTTCTTTCTTTCTTTCTTTCTTTCAGACTTTTCTTTCAGACCTTTCTTTCTTTCAGACCTTTCTTTCTTTCAGACATTTCTTTCTTTCAGAATTTTCTTTCTTTTCCTTCCCTGGCTTTGTTTGTTTTTTTCTTTCTTTATTTTATTTTCTTCTTTCTTTCTTCTTTTATTTTTTATTTTAAACACATCTTCTATTTACCACTTATTCATTCATTTTTCTTTCTTTCTCACTTTTATTTCTTTTGTCTTATTTTCTTTGGAATTCATCTTCATTGTTCATTTCATTCATTTATTCTTTTAATCTTTCTCCTGTTTCTCCATTCCTTTTCTTGATACTATCGCCACTCTTCTTTCTTTCTTTCTTTCTTTCTTTCTTTCTTTCTTTCTTTCTTTCTTTCTTTCTTTCAGACCTTTTCCTTTCTTATTTCAGACCTAGGTTTATTTCTTTTTCTCTTTCTTTTTTTTTTCTTTCTTTCTTTATTTCTTTCTTTCTTTCAGACCTTTCTTTCAGACCTTTCTTTCAGACCTTTCTTTCTTTCTTCTTTCACATTTACCTTCCTTCCTGTCTGCCAGCCTTCAATCCTCCTTTCAGACCTTTCTTTCTTTCTTATTTTAGACCTACCTTCTCTTCCCTTCTTTCTTTCTTTCTTTCTTTCTTTCTTTCACCTTTACCTTCCTTCCTGCCTGCCACCCTTCCTTCCCTCCTTTCAGACCTTTCTTTCTTTCTTTCTTATTCTAGACCTACCTTCTCTTCCCTTCTTTCTTTCTTTCTTTCTTTCTTTTTTCTTTCTTTCTTTCTTTCTTTCTTTCTTATTCTAGACGCAAATACCTTCCTTCCTTCCTTCCTTCCTTCCTTCCTTCCTTCCTTCCTTCCTACCATTCTCTCTCTTCTGCATCATTTGTTCCTGTTCAGCTTCCGTTTCCCCATTGGTCCATTAAACGAATTATGTGCATGGACAGAAGAATGTTTGGATGTCTCTACATACCTATTTACATATACGCACCTGCCCTTAACAATATGAAATCTAAGTCAGCTGTGCGCCCCTAGTTATTTGCACATAACTCAACCATTTCGTATGTGCCTCGCTCTCCGTTGGTGGCAAGACACACGCTTTTGTCTTTCAGAAACATCAACGTCTACAATTTGCATGTGTGTCATTCGACATCGTCCAATCATTGTTCTTGTTCTTGTTGTTGTTGTTCCATAACTACTGCAGCTGCGACTACCATTTTGACTTTTCATCTGCCAAGATTTTCCCGTTTTTTATTGTTTTTGATATGTAAAATATTTATGTGATTATCATATGTAAAGCAATCTATCTATCTATCTATCTATCTATCTATCTATCTATCTATCAATCTATCTATCTATCTATCTATCTATCTCAAGCTGTTCATATCTATCTATCTATCTATCTATCTATCTTTTGTTTTAGCAGCTTTATTGAATATTTTTAAAAAATGAAATTCATTTTGCCTTGTTTTCATACAAGTTGTTTTTTTACAGTGTGAGAAATTTGTTTGTATACAAGGTGCGATGGATAAATTGTCTAAATTATGCAAAAATGAAAATAACACTGATATCTCATTTTAACAGATATATTTACCAAAATTACACAAAAATATCTTCAAATACTAAACGGTAAATTTATTCAATAAAATCGCCATTGGCTTCAACCATAGCATTTAGACGACTTCAGAATCTTCTGAAACTCTCTCTGAACAATTTAAGTTGGTGAATGCTGCCATAATCCTTGCCTTTAGTTCATCTTTGCTGTTACAATGAGTTTTGTTGCTCATTCGCTCAACTGCGCTACAATCATAATAATCAGGGAGGTTGCAGTCTGTGGAGTTGGGAGTGATGTGGTTCCAGAAATTGTCTGATAGTTATGACTGGGTCTTGCTGCTTGTTTGGCATGGTGCAGAGTCCTGTTGCAAGACATAGTATCTTCCAGCAGCCACCCTCTTGATCCAAGACAGGACTTCCACCTCAAAGAACTTAATGTAGGCCTCCGTGTTGAGCCTGAGGCCCTGTGAGAAGATGAATGGAGGCATAACGTCGCCATCACTAGTGATCCCTCCAAACACCATGATGTTGACTGGATATATCATCCAACTCTCTCCGTATCCTCTGCACTATCCTCAGATTGACACCCAGACACCTTGAAATGTTCGTACTGGAGCTTCCGGGGCGAATGCCAAGCAGTACAGCATGCCCTTTCCAAATTTCTGGTGGAGTGAATTACGTCAAGATGCTCTTCTTCTCACAGAAAACAGACAGTACCCCACTGACTCTACTATATGGTGCTGTCGATAAAAACAAAAACAAAAAACGCGCATGCGCAAAATTAAAAATATAAAATGGCGGCAATTTATCCATCGTGCACTATATATATATATATATATATATATATATATATATATATATATTATAAATTAAATCAGTTAATTTATAATATTTATGCTCTGTAAATTTACGTTGAGCACTGTTTTGTAAAAAAAATATATATATATATATATTAATAAGAACACCGGATTATATATATATATATCTTACTGTTCTTTATATATATATATATATATATATATATCAATACATGGAGGCAGATTATATTCCTTATCCCTGTGTAGTGTACTCTTCTGGGTGTGTAGAGTCACCTACGGGGTTAACCCTTTTGTCGTTATTGTATAAAAAGAATTTTATTCTAATTCTGATGAATACAATACGATAATTATTCAATCGGAAAAAAAGTTTCTTTAGTTTAATATTCAGGTGGCATTTAAAATAAACAAGAAATTGCAGAGCAATTTGATATAAGTATAATGTATATTTACATTATTCGGACTATTGTCCTCATCTTTGTCGCCATGTTTATTACAACGTTTCCGTTGTACGCTCCGGCCATTTTCAGGTGGTTGAACTGAACCCTTTATTTCGTTCACTGGGGTAGACTGTTTTAATGGATATCAGTTAACTGTTATCTTCTGCTAATTCCACTCCCCAAGCTGTCTTCACCGGGTATTGAACGCACACTCTTTGGGTCCTGTCACTGGATCTAACCAACGCCTTTATCCACTGTACCATGTGTCCTTGAGGACATCTGTTTATGAATTTCTGGGTATTATAAAGTAAAAGTCTTCAGCAACCATTTTTACCAGTGCTCATATTGCAATGGTCAATACTCTGCCCGTACCAAACAAGCTGATGTAGACAAACTCCTATAAAATTGTTACATGTCCCGTGTCAATAACCAGGTCTGGGTGATGTTCATACCAGTTTCATGCAGTTTCCTTTCCGTAAAAGTTACATATTTTACAGTGCAGATATTGGTCTACTCTATCATATTTTTACACACACAGACACCCCCCACACACACACCCACACATACACACACGTATATATTGATGCATGCTTCATTAAATAATATAGACAAGTTTTGTCTATTTATTTTAAGTAAATTCCTTTCATATTGTCTGATAAGCTTAATAACATTATCATTGAAAGACGAAAAAAAATCACCATATTGATACATGTTTTTTGAATCCTATCTAAGCTTTCGTCTTACATAAGCCATTATCAAAGTTAACAATTACATTTCAATATATCAAACAATACACGGACAAAACAATAATGATAGTCTGTTTTTTTTTTGCATGGAAGATTTCCAAGCAACGACAAACTCGTGCATACGAGATGCTAGAATCGAAAATCGCACAGCAGCTCGTGACGTCACACACGACCACGCGAGAGTGAAAACGAAAAGTGTTAAGTATGGGAAGCCGTTGGTATAAACCAATGGCTTCTGTTATCAATTATAGGCATTTAAGAATATTTGTGTATATATATATATATATATATATATATATATATATATATATATATATATATATATATATAAGTGACTTGCAATGTTTATT